GTGAGCATGCATGTGTGAGCGAGTGTGTGAGCATGCATGTGTGAGCATGCATGTGTGTGCAAGCATGTGTGAGCGAGTGTGTGAGCATGCATGTGTGAGCAAGCATGTGTGAGCATGCATGTGTGAGCGAGTGTGTGAGCATGCATGTGTGAGCGTGCATGTGTGAGCATGCATGTGTGAGTGAGTGTGTGAGCATGCATGTGTGTGCAAGCATGTGTGAGCGAGTGTGTGAGCATGCATGTGTGAGCAAGCATGTGTGAGCAAGCATGTGTGAGAGTGCATGTGTGTGCAAGCATGTGTGAGCATGCATGTGTGAGAGTGCATGTGTGAGCATGCATGTGTGAGTGAGTGTGTGAGCATGCATGTGTGAGCAAGCATGTGTGAGCAAGCATGTGTGAGAGTGCATGTGTGAGCATGCATGTGTGAGCGAGTGTGTGAGCATGCATGTGTGAGCAAGCATGTGTGAGCAAGCATGTGTGAGCATGCATGTGTGAGCAAGCATGTGTGAGCATGCATGTGTGAGAGTGCATGTGTGAGTGAGTGTGTGAGCATGCATGTGTGAGCAAGCATGTGTGAGCAAGCATGTGTGAGAGTGCATGTGTGAGCATGCATGTGTGAGCGAGTGTGTGAGCATGCATGTGTGCGCATGCGTGTATGTAAGGACCAGTGAAGGGAAGAATGTTGGATGTCTCGCACATGATCACTTCTCTGCCAGGATCACCTACCTAGGACTGTCCCCTGTCAGGTGTTGGCTTCTGCTACCTCACCATGGAATCCTACCTTGCCAGAAAGACTTGGAAGGACACTCGTACAGGGAAGTGGGTACTTCGCGTGCCTATGACCTCCAGGATGCCAGCCTGACGCAGCTGCTCTGCCACGTGTCCCACATCGAAGAGGCCTGGGAGCTGGGAGCCAGAGAAACAGCCAAGGAGAGCTGGAGTCGGGAATAGAGCTGAGAGGAGACGGTCTCAGAGGAGGGGAGGGGTGGAGGAGAATATGGCGGGGTGAGGTTGGGGAAAGAGAGCTCACCTTCCCAGGGGTGGGGTTGACACAGTGGATGATGGAAACATGGCTCCTGCTGAGTGCAAGGAGGACAGTCACAGATCAGATTACCCTCCATCCCCTCCTCTGGGGTCCAGTGGAAGGATGCAGTTCTCACCTGCCTAACCGAGCTACCAAGTCACCCAGGGACTGCTGGAATCGAGAGGCTAATGTGGGTTTGCTTTGCTCAGTCCCAGCCTGGGGCTCTGCTTCCTGGAACAGGCTGCCCATGAGCTGTGTGGGGTGAGATGGGTCTCAGCTGTTTTCATCCTGGGCCTGTCCACCCACTACACATCCCCCGGGAGCAGGCACCCCCTAAACACTGAGCCCCCTCCCATTCCTCCATCCAGGTGTCAAGGCCTAGCTCCTCAGAGCTTGCTGAGCTCCTGAAGGAAGGCTAGGTCACCTGCAGCTGGCTCTGTCTGAGCAGCTCCAGCATGGCAGGGTCCAGGCGGTCCCTGTTCCTGCTTATGAACTTGTGCACCTGCAAGAGAGGAGGACGGTGGAACAGCCCTGTGGGAGGCTGGGTGTGCACCACCACGCCTCAGAAACTGATAGGCCTTCTCAGCTTTACATAGTTCTGCTGGCGCCTGGCCTTTCTGGCTCATCCCACCGATGGGTTCATGTTTGGTAAAGCTCTTCCGGGGCATGTGTTGTAGAACAGTTTCCTGCCACAGAGAAAAGTCTCCTCCGCCCTCCGCCCTCTGCCCTCTGCCTCTTCAGTATGCTCTTGGTTATTCTCATGCCTTTCCCCACATAAAACTCAGAATGGTTTGTCTTTTTTTTTTTTTTTTTTTCCTTTGAGACAAGTTTTCTCTATATTGCCCTGGCTGTCCTAGAACTCCCTCTGTAGACCAAGCTGACCTCGAACTCAGAGAGCCACCTGCTTCTGCTGAGGTTAAAGGCATGGACACCTGGCTGTTTCTTTGTTTTTAATCAAAACCCAATCTCAGAGACAGGGCTGTAGCACAGCTGGAGGAGCCTCTGCCTAACACGCCCAAGCCCCAGGTTCTGAGTCCCGGCACTGCCTAAACCCTGAGCTGGGCACGGGTGTTGCACACCTGCAGAGCCAGCACTTGGGGACTGGAGGCAAACGGATCAGAAATGGAAGGTCATCCCTGGCCACAAAGAAAGTTAAAGACCAGATGAGGCATATGAGACCCTGACTCAAAAACCAAAACAAGGGCTGGGGGTGTGGCTCAAGTCTTTAGTTTGATCACTTTAGGAGGCAGAGACAGGAAGCTCTCTGAGTTTGACGCCAGGTCTACAAAATGAGTTCCAGGACATCCAGGGATACACAGAGAAACCCCTGTCTCAAAAACAAACAATCAAGCCGGGCGGTGGTGGCGCACGCCTTTAATCCCAGCACTTGGGAGGCAGAGGCAGGCGGATTTCTGAGTTCGAGGCCAGCCTGGTCTACAGAGTGAGTTCCAGGACAGCCAGGGCTACACAGAGAAACCCTGTCTCGAAAAACAACAACAACAAAACAAAACAAAAAAAAAACCACCAAGACATTATTTAATAAAAAAAAAAGAAAAGAAAAGACGATGACAACTTGGGGCTGCAGAGATGGCGCCACCGTTGAGCACTGGCCATTCTTTCGGAGGATCTGGGTTTGATTCCCGGCACCCACATAGCAGCTCACATGCAATTGTAACCCCAGCCCTAGAGGATCTGATGTTCTCTGGTGACTTCTGAGGGCACCAGGCACGCTCATGATGGACAGACGCATGCAGGCAAAACTCTCACACACAAAATAAAGAGTTTTTAAAGGGGGGGCGTGTTAAGGGACAGGGGAGATGGCTCAGTGGTTAAGAGAGCAAACTGTATAATAAACTGAGCCAGTAAGACACCAGCTGCTGAGTCTGAGGACCCAAGTTCAAGCCCAGTTATTCACACTGTGGAAGGAGAAAGCCAACTCCCAGAAGTTGTCCTCTGACCTCCACATACATACACATGCACACCCCCCCATTAACTAAAAACAGAGGTAAAAAAAAAAATCGAGCACGGATGGGAGGGGTTCACAAGGCCCCATCCTTAGCCAAGAAGCTATTAAAAATAATTAACACTCAGAACTGGGTGTGGCCTGAGGCTCACGTGGAGACACAGTGCCACGTCTTGGAAGGAATCTCACTGACGCTGTCATCTGGTAGGTGACTCATCTTGGGAGGGGCAGACACTACAATGACATGGCCTTGCTGATTCACCTACGTTCTCTGCCCAAGAACGGATACCTGGTAGGTGACAGTTCCAGCGTAGTGCCGCACCGTGAAGATCGGCAGGGGCAGCTGAGGCTTGGCGTAGCTCGGGTGGTCACCATGGTGATAGTGGCACTTCTGGAGGAAGGTGTGGTCTGTGGCCTGAAAGAGAAGGAGCCACACTTTCTCAGTTTCTGTATAAGCTTGCTGGCTGCTTCCTGCATTCACCCTGTTCCTTCCTGAAGACTGCAGCACCACACAACCTAGACATGGGGAGATTTGTCCCCCCAAATCTAGACATGGGGAGATTTGTCCCCCCAAATCTAGACATGGGGAGATTTGTCCCCCCAAATCTAGACATGGGGAGATTTGTCCCCCCAAATCTCTTATCAGACAGAGAGAGTCAGTAGTCTGCACCAGAGTCCCTGTAGTGTGTTCCCTTTCTCTGTGACTTTATGTTTTGAACAGTCAGGTACTATTTGAGAAGGTCAGGGTCACCTCAGGCCCAGGAGCCACAGCTGCCAAGCCCTAGATGTGAAATTTCTGAGGAAGCCTGGAGGAGTTAAAATAGAGTTGGAGGCTCTGACACAGATGTCAAAACTGTCCCCGCTACACCCTCTCCACAAGCTGTTACAGGTCACTTTATATAACCTAGGGGTGGCAATGACTGTTTTGCCAGAGAACCCAGGTTTAGTTCCCAGCCCTTACACAGATGGTGGCTCCCAGTTGTAACTCCAGTCCCAGGGGATCCGATCCCCTTTTCTGGCCTCCCCAAGTCCAGGCACACACATGGTACTCAGACAAACACAAAAAAGCAAAACACCCATACTCATGAAACAGATTTTTAAAAAAAGTGAACCAGGGACTAGAGAAACACCTGTGAGATGTTTCTCTTATTTTGTTTTTGGGGCAGTTCCTCATGAAGACCAGGCTGGCTTTGAACTCACATTGATCCGTCTGCGTCTGCACCCAGTATGCTGGGGCTTGAAGATTGGATTAAAGACACCAGGCAACATTACTCATGGCTGGTTTGAGATACAGTCCCTTTTGGCCAGGCTAGCCTCCAACTCACTGTGTAGCTGAGGAGGACCCTCCTGACTTCTACCCCTAGAGTGCTGGGACCACAGGTTTGCACCCTTTGTCACAGTCTTCTCAAGGGAAGAGCGGCAATGTCTTCGTCCCATTGCGTGCTTCTCCAGAAAGCCTTACCACAGATGCATAGACAAAGCCCTCTCCGCTAGTCTTCCCTGGCCTATAAATGCTAGTTTTTCCCCAGGCCACGTGCAGTGAGGGGCAAGATCTTATGACCCTCTCCACCTCTCTGAGAGGGAATGTAAACCATTCGCCGTCCACTTGGGGATGATCTTTTTTGTTTGTTTGTTTGTTTGTTTTTTGTTTTTTCGAGACAGGGTTTCTCTGTATAGCCCTGGCTGTCCTGGAACTCACTCTGTAGACCAGGCTGGCCTCGAACTCAGAAATCCGCCTGCCTCTGCGTCCTAAGTGCTGAGATTAAAGGTGTGTGCCACCACCGCCTGGCTGGGGATGATCTTTTGCAAGGAGCCACAGCTGAACTCCCAAGACGGAGTGCTTTGGCTTGGCTTGTTCTGTAGAACAGCGTTACCACACCTGATTTTATACCATGCTGGGGAGCGAACCTAGGGCTCCGTGCCCGCTAGACAAGCCCTCCTCCTACTAAGCCGTATCACCATCCTACGGTCACTTTATTATTGGTGTCCACCCTGCAACCTTAGTTCCCAAACGTTTGAGTCCTACACGTGTTCCTGTGACTCCACAAAGCTGCCCACCAGACATCTGGGATTCTTACTTACTTATTGTGGAAAATGGAGCCTCATATACCAGATTAGCCTGAGATGTACTGCCTATCTCAGCCTGCCTGCCTGCCTGCCTGTCTTCTTTCTTTCTCTCTTTCTCTCTCTCTCTTTCTTTCTTTCTTTCTTTCTTTCTTTCTTTCTTTCTTTCTTTCTTTCTTCCTCTCTCTTCAGTCTGTGCTGACTTCAAACTTGCTTTTCCCTGCTTGTGCTTTGTGAGTGCTGACACACAGTGCTTACGGCCCATCAGGTGGAGTCTACATTAGAATCCAGAAATTGAATCCATTATCTCTTTTTCTTTCTTCAGTTTTTCGAGACAGGATTTCTCCGTGTATCCCTGCTCTCCTGAAACTTACTTCATAGACCAGGCTGGCCTAGAGCTAAGACATCTGCCTGCTCTTAGATTAAGGCACCACTGCCCAGACTGAATCCACTGTCTTACACACAGCAGGCAAATGCTCTACCACTGAACTATACACTATACCCCCCCATACACACACACACACACACACACACACACACAGACACACACACACACACATACACACACAGACACAGGCTCTCTCTGTCTCACTGTCACTGTCTCTCTCTGTCCCTCCCTCCCTCCCTCCCTCCCTCCCTCCCTCCCTCCCTCCCTCCCTCTCTTCTTTCCTTTCTTTGTTGTTGTTGTTTTGATACCGGGTCTCTCTGTGTAGCCCTGGCTATACTAGAACTCGCTCTACAGACCAGGCTGGCCTTGACGTCTCAGAGATCCTCCTACCTCTGCCTCTCAAATGCTAGGACTAAAGGCGTGTGCCACCACACCTAGCCTAAGTTTTTTTATATATATAAATTAATTAATTAATTTTTTAGATTTATTTCCTTTTTAATCTGTGCATGTGCTTTGCTGCATGTGTGGCTGGTGCCCATGGAAGTCAGGAGAGGTCATCAGATCTCCTGACACCGGAGTTATAGTAACGGCTCTGAGCCACCATGTGGATGCTGGGAATTGAACCTGGCTCCTCTGCTCTTACCCTCTAAGCCATCTCTCCAGCCCTTACCATTTCCTTCCCGCAATCCTGGGCTCCAGGAAGGGAGAACTGAATCTTTCCCTTGGATCTTTCCCCTCAGAATGGTTCCTACACACAGATTCATCGTCAATGCCAGTACACCTCGGGTAGAGCTGAAGTTCTTCAGACAGACCTAGCCCGCCTGCAGCTCAGTCTAGTGAGGAGGAGAGGTAGCTTACACTGACTGCCCCTGACAGTCAACACTGTCTGCTCTCTCCAGGAGTTCAAATATAAAGAGGCAGAGGCTGATGTGTAACAGGGAGTGTTTACACAGGACAGCCAGTTACCAACCCGAGAAGCATTTGTAGCAGCTGTTGATGGAGCACGCCTGGAATCCCAGCACTTGGGATGTGGAGGGATAAGGATCAGATGTTTAAGGCTAGCCTAGACTACATAGTAACTTCCTGTCTCAACAAAACAAAATGTAACAAAAGCCTAAGGAGCTGGAGAGATGGCTCTGTTGGTTATGAGCATTTGCTGCTCTTCCAGAGGACCCGGGTTCTGCTCCCGGCACCCACACAGCAGCTTATGACCATCCTAACCCCAGTTCCAGGGGATCTGACATCCTCCTCTGATTTCTAGGGTACCATGCATGCACACGGTGCACACACACGCATGGAGGCAAAACACCCGGCACATAACATTAAATGTTTTTGAAGTGTTTGGTGGGAGTATAGGACTCTTCCCCTTGAATGCTTCTTCCAAGACTGCAGAACGCTGTGTCTCTGACCCTATAGTCTCCCAGGCTATATCTTGTTGGCTTTATCCTGGCTACCTACGGTCTCCCATTCCTCATCCCTGACCCTGAGTGTCCCTGACTGCTCTCACCTGGGATAGCCAGGTCTGGGTGTCCAGGATGCTTAGGAGGCTATGGGGCTGGCCCACCAGGAGATCCAGGCAGGACTCCCTTGGAGGCTGGGGAATGGGCGCCCACTTCAGCAGCTCCCGCTGGCACACCGCCTAGGAACAACCAGCATTTGATAACTAACAGCCCACATTTGTTGGGGCTGGGCGAGATCACAGAGCGGCATAAGAGATTACCCTCCTCTTACATATGTAAAGGGAGGTTAAGGACTGAGTCCTTCCCACCCATCTTGGAAAGGGGGCTTTGTGGGGCGGTTCTTCCTGTGACTACTTCAGCCTTGGTTCAAGGCCATGTGCTCTGTGTCACCAGCAACGCCTGACCTCAGCTCCATACCTCCTCCTGGGCCAGCAGCCTCTGGCTGGAGAAGAGCTGCAGGCGCTCGCTGGCCAGATTGCTGCATAGCTGCTCTAAGCCATTCACCCGCAGCGCCTAGGGAAGGTGAACAGGGAGGGGGATCTGCACAGGAGGTGGGGGCCGGGCAAATATGGCTGCCCCTCCCTTCTCCCCAGGACACTCAAAGGAACGATACCCCAGAGCTGAGGCTGCAGCCAAGAGCGACAAGTCAAAAGGAGTGCAGTCTATAGGCCATCCTGGACCTGCCTTAGCCATTCAGTCCTGCCTCCAGCTCTCCACAGCCCTGCCCTCTGCTCCAATTATGAGCCTTTCCAGCTCTGGTCACACCCATCCGGAGAGGGTCTGCAGGGTGCCCCTTCCTTGATGGCACTCAGAATCCCATTGTCTCGTGTTGCTGCCACCTCCAGGAAGCCTGCCAGCCTGCCTCTGGTGTTCTGCAGCTTCAGCACACAATCACTCAAGCCTTAGCATAGCTGTACCCACCAGAGCAGATGTGCATGCAATCCTTGCCTTCCAGGGCAGGGTGGTCGCCAAGGACATTCAGAAGGGCAGGGCCCACTGGGCAGTGAACAGTGCCCATCCAGGAACTGGGGGTGGGGACATCCAAGCCTAATTATTGTTAGCCCTCTCTACAAAAGGGGGTAACACTTAGGAAAGGGGTGCACAGCTGTGACAGTTCTGGAAGATTTGAGAGCCCCCACTTATTTCCTCCTTGGTATATGTGGCAGGTGACAAACCCAGCCCAGGGTGGTGGCCGTGTGTGTCTATAAAGCCTAGCAGGATGGAACTCTCTGAAGCGATGTCCCTGTAGAAAGCAAAGCCTGCTGACGTCACCTCCTGTACCGCTGGGGACACTGGCCTCAGAAGGATTAATTAGCTGTGTGAGGTCACACAGCCAGCAAGGGGCAGGACAAAGCAGATAGCTCTAGGACTTGTGGTGGCTCCAGCCCCTCCCAGAGGGAACCCAGGAGAGCTTCCCGCCCCAGTTGGGAAAGGCACAGTGTTGGAGTCCTCCTCCTTCTCTCAGGAACGGCAAAGTCAAGTAGACAGAGAACCCCAAGATTCCTTGCCAGCCTCAACCAGACTCTGAAGACCCAAGATCCAGGACCTGTTCCCTGTCTATCCCTACCCAGGGACACCCAACGGAGATCCCACTCAGTAGTCCCGGGAGGAGCCAGCAAAGACACAGGTCAGACAGGGAGGAGCTGGAATGAGATAGGCCTGCCTTGCCCCTCCCCCTCTCAAGGGGTGACCTCAAAGCCAAAGGCATCCACAACAGCAATGGTGGCCACACTGTCTGCCTCCCTTGGCGGGGACAGCCGCACACTGATCTGCTCCAGAAGCCAGGTGAAGAGCCTTGTGTACAGGGTCTTGGCCAGGGCATCCCTGCGGGCACCATAATTGAGCCTTGCGCGCAGTGCAGACACCTGGCTCCACCCTCCATCCCCAAGGTTACCTGGCATCAATGGCACCTTCCACTGGCAGAGATCTGGAGACCCGGCCGTAGGGTGTGTCCTGGAGACCAGAGAAATGCTCAGTGTCAGGCCCATACTCCTGGTGCTCCAGGTTGCTCCTCCCACCTTCCCAGCACCCTTCGGGCTCACCGTGACTCTCTTGGTGACTGCCCCCTCTAGACGATCTGGTGGCACCTGTAGCAGCCGGGCTGCCAGGTGGATTTCAGTCCAGCTAGATACAGCAGCCACCTCTTGGGACTCCCGCTGAACAGAAGAGGGACAGAAGGAGCTTTGCTTGTGTGATGACAACACAGGGACAGGCAGGGCTTTGCTTTATCTAGCCTGCTGCCCGTTACTCAAAGGGCCAGCAGCAGCCAGCTGTGGTAGTGCAGGCTTTTAATCTCAGCACTTGGGAAACAGAGGCAGGTGGATCTCTGTGAGTTCGAAGCCAGCCTGGGCTGTGCAGTAAAACTCTGTTTCAAAATCAATAAAGAAATAATGACAGGGCCAAGAGCATGAGGTGCTCTGGACTGCAGTGAGCCAGGCTGTGGGGTTGAAGCCTCCGAGTGTGAGTCCTGGCTGTCTTTTCTTAGTAACTGAGCCGTTCTGACTAATCCATCTCTCTCTCTCACCCTCTGTTGCTTATTGCTGGGGGGAAAACATCACCCCTTGGGGCACAGTGTTGTCTTGAGAATTAAATTTTCTTGTTGATTTTTAAGTGTCACAGAATCTCCCCAATCCTCGTCAGTAGCTTCTTGGTTAGCTCTCCTTAAGGGTTACAGTCAAATTCAAAAGATGGCATGAGGGGTGTGGGTGCAGAAGGCAGGGGCTCACTGTCCTCATCTATGCAATAGGGGCCCGCCGGCTTTCAGAGGCAGCCCAGGGCTTTGTGAGTCTCCACACACAATGACTTGGCATCATCACTGCTCTGATGGTGAAAAAAAAAAAAAGCAAAAAAACAAAAACAAAAACAAAACAAAATCACTGGGCATCCTGTGTGCTCTGTGGTCCCACCCACAAGAGAGCCCACCTCTGAAGAAGAGAAGCAGATGTTGCCCAGATGCAGGATGGTGGCCAGGACAGCCCAGACTGCAGTCAGCTCCTCTGTGCACAGCCCCAGCACCCTCAGGGCCTTCACCAGCTCTTTGAAGCCCTGGGCATCCTCCTTGCCCTGGAGCCTGCAGGCTCGGCCCTGCAGAGAACAGCAGGCTTGTGGAGGCGCAATGCCTGGCATCCCAGTGTCCTGAACACCATGGCTCAGTCTGGGGATGTCTCTGAGAGTCTCGGCCCTACCTGGTTGAGGTAGTAGTAGGCCTCAGGTCCCTGCAGAGAGAGCTGCTCACGATCCGTGGGGTCCAACCCTGCCAGCAGCTCGTAAAAAACATGGAAGCTTCGCTCAGCCTGGGCCTTGGGTAGAGAAACTGGCTTGGTAGGGAGCGGGGTTTGAGGGCTATGGCCCGTTTTCTTTCCCATCTTCAGAGAAGGGGAGGGGGTGGGCAAGAGGCTGGTCATTCATTACCTGAAACACTACTCTGGAGGTCTCAAGCAGATAGTGGGACACAGAGGCTCCTACGATAACCCCCCTGTAGGTAAAAGAGACAGGGTAGGCACACCCAGAAGCACTTCTCTGAATGGGCAATCCAGAGGCTGAGGCTAAAGATGGTATCCCTGCTCCTAGGAAGAGTAACCTGTCACAGGTGCCACTGAGACCACCGGTCCCCATCACTCACTGCTGCAGGCAGAGGCATATCTCCTGGCCGAAGCGGCTGGCATTGGCATTGAGGATGGTCTTGGCATGGCCAAAGCTGCCGAGTACGGGCAGTATGTCCTGCAGCTGTATGAGGATTAGGGAGACTCATGGTTTTTTTTTTGTTTGTTTGTTTTTGTTGTTGTTTTTTCGAGACAGAGTTTCTCTGTGTAGCCCTGGCTGTCCTGGAACTCACTCTGTAGACCAGGCTGGCCTCGAACTCAGAAATCCGCCTGCGCTCTGCCTCCCAAGTGCTAGGATTAAAGGTGTGCACCACCACCACCTGGTGAGACTCATGTATTCTTAAGATGGCCTTGGTACCCACCACTCACTGAGAGTTCTCTATACTACTGGCTGTGTGAACCCTCACGGAGTCAGTCCTAGCAGATATCCTCCCCCTCCCCCAGATTAAAAGGGTTGAGGGTGTGGCTCAATTTGTAGAGTTGCTCATATTACATTCAGGAGGCTCCGGGCTCAATCCCCAGCACCACACGAAACTGAGCACGGTGGCGCACACTGTAATCCTGGCACTGGAGAGGCGCAGGCAGGCAGGAGAATCAGATGCTTAGTCATTCTCAGCTACACGGGAAGTTCTAGGCCGTCCAGGGCTACGTGAGATGCTGGTTTTTTCAAAAAAATAAAAATAAAAATAAAATATTCAGGCATGATAGTACACGCCTTTAATCCCAGCATTCTGGAGGTAGAGGCAGGCGGCTCTCTGAGATTGAGGCCAGCCTGGTCTACAGAGTGAGTTCCAAGACAGCCAGGGCTACACAGAGAAACAAACAAACAAACAAAACCCAACAATAAAAAACAAAATAAAAAGGCCTAACCCCACTCCCTTGCATTAGGAAGACCGCAGGGACTGATCCATGAAAAGCCACAGGCTTGAGGAAATGGCGGAGAAATGACTAGTTGCCTCCAGCCAGACCTCACCTGTGCCCGGTTGGCCTCCATCGGCTTCTGCCCTATGCTGCTTAGAAACTCCAAAATCTTCTTGGCAGCCTCTGTCTTCCCTGAGCCACTGTGTCCCCTGCAGGAGGAAGGGATTAAGGATGGGAGGGGGCACCAGGGACCGCCCCGCTGAGCCCAGGTATTAGGGATATACCATATGAAAGTGATTTCTACAATGTGGAGAGGCTAGACCTGGTTCATGGAGACTAACCAGAAAGAAGGGGTACATAGCAACACTCAGGAGGCCTCAGGACCATCCTGAGGACCTCTTCCTGAACTGCTGCCCAGCAGGGTGTGGGATCAATAGTTAGAGTATCCTACGGGCTCAGGCAAGCAAATTAGCCAGGACTCACCCCAGGAGGATGCAGGAGTCCGTTCCAGAGCTCTGAGACAGGCTATAGGCTGCTACCCCGATGGCAAAGATGTGTCTGGGGGTGGGGGGAGGACAGCAGGGGCATGAGAAGGTGCCAGAGATGGTTGTCTGGGGTCCCCTAGGAATACAATGTGCCCACAGGCCCTGGCACTCAGTGAGACAAATATTCAGGGAGTTAAGCACAGAGTCAAAGGGTCAAGGTCACATACGGTGTGGTGTTTGGGGCCTTCCTGGGATGGTAGCTGGCCAAGACCTCTGATGAGAAGAGAGGCAGGGGCTTGTGGGGGTTCAGAGCAAGCAGAAGGGGTCCCCCAAAAGTCTGTTAAAAAAAGCAGAGGCTCTCATGAGGAAGCAGGAGACTATAAAGGGGAGGTTCTGATGCACCCCAAACCAGACTCTCATGCATGTCTTCTGGGGACCCAAGCAGAGCTGGCTTTACACCCTGTCTGAGGATAAAGAGAGGCCTCAGGGATGCTGGGGAGCTCCCTGCCCACAGGGGAAAGGGAATCTAGCCCACAACCCTTCCCTGTGGTCCCCTTACATAGATGCGGCCCAGGTGGAACCTCTTCTTGAGGCATAGCAGCACAGAGCTGTCACACACCAGCCTGTAGGGACAGCAGGGCAGAGGGTGAAGATGCTGGGAAGCCTTAGGCAAGCTGTGCCACTTCCAGTGGGGCTCAGCCATTGTCCCCCATCCCCTGGGGGGAGGCCTGTAATTACAATGACTTGGGAGGCTGAGACAAGCGTACCACATGTTCAACTCCTGCCTGGGCAACCTGGTGAGATTCTTTGACAAGTTAAAAGGTAAAAATAGGCTTGGGCCAGGGGGCAAGATGCCTAGGAGGGTACAAGCACTCTCTGCGAAGGCTGTGACAACCTGTGGGTGGGCAGGTCAATTTCTGCAAGTGATCCTTTGACCTCTGCATGTGTACATGGGGCTCAAGAGCTTACATCTCCCCCCACCCCCCACCCCCCACCCCGACACACACACACACAGTCCTGGCTGTGGTTGTAGCACATGCCTTTAATCCCAGCACTTGAGAGGCAGAGGGAGAGGCAGATAGCTCTCTAAGTTGGAAGCCAATCTGGTCTACAGAGCAAGTTCCTGGATAGTCAGAGAAACTCTGTCTTAATAAGTAAGTAAGTAAGTAAGTAAATAAATAAATAAATAAATAATAAAAGAGGGCTGGGGTTATATAGATCAAGACCAACACGCAGGAGACCCTGGGTTCAATCGACACTAAGGAGCGGGGCTGCAGATTTGGAAGGCACCTTGCACTCCAAATCTGTCTTTCTCTGAGACAAAAATCCTCTGTTGATTCAGTAAGGGTGCATACGATTTTGAAAGGTCTGCGGGCAGAATGAAGTGTGAGAAACTATGAACCAGGGGCAGCAGATTTGGCATTGTGCCCCTCACCGCAGCCTGGCGAGGTCCTCAATGTCTTCCAGGCCCTCTGGGAGACTCCTGGTCTTAGCACCTAGAAAGGGTGCCATCTCTAGGTCCTTCTGGAGGCTCAACTCCAGGTCCCTTTCAAGCGCTGCCTCGGCGTCATCCTCTGGCTCCCACCGCTCCCTTGCTGCCTCGGCGTCATCCTCTGGCTCCCACCGCTCCCTTGGTGACCGGCAGGGGATATTCTGCCGCAGGCGAGTCTCCAGAGTGAGCTGAGGTAGCAGAGTATCAGCGCCAAGTTCTGGACCTTCGCAGGGATTATCGTCCTGTGCCCAGTGCACCCCTTTCTTAGCTTCCAAGGTTTCTGGCTCTGCTTCGCTTCGGTTCTCGTCCGGTGGGGTCCCATTGGGGGCAGACGGGAAAAAGCAGGGAGTCTGATGGGACCTGACCACCCCTTCTCCATTAGCCTCTGACTCCTCTCTATCCTCTGCAGTCCCAGCAGGAGACGAAACGCGGCCTTCACCAGTGGGGGCGTCCGTGGATGTTCCTGAACTGCTGCTGACCGACTCCTTCCCCGCATTATGGATCCGGGGAAAGACCACTGCAAATTTGGGATCTGGAGCTGGACCCTCGATGGCTGATGCATCCTCAGAGACTGAGCTACTCAGAGCCTGTGGAGGGCTCGGACCACCGCCAGGGGGAGCCCGCGGCGTTCCCCGGAGCCCCACCAGGCGGCAGGCCAGGCGTAAGGCCAGCCAGCGCCGTGGCCCGGGCGCCCCGCCCCGCGCCTCGAGCGCCCTCTCGCGGCCGCGCTCCCGCGGGCCCGTGGCGCGCGCCTCCGCCCGACGCCGCTCCATCCGCAGGCGCAGCCAGCCGAGGAAGCCCAGGGCCCGAGCCACGCGCTGCAGCCGCGCCTTGAGACCCACGCGGATGCCACCGGCGAGCTGGGGAGACGCGCCTGTTGGTGGCCTCCGGCGCAGCCTGCGGAGCACCACGAGGGCGGCCAGCGGCGTCCGGTCCCGGGGTCCTGGGTCCCCTGCACCCACTTGCTCTTCGGCTCCCGCGTCGCTCTCGCCCGCAGGCACCTGCACCTTCCTCGCCACCTCTCCGAGTTCCTGGACAGCCCCGGGAACCTCCGCTGCCTCAGGCTCAGTACCCAGCAGCTCAGCCTTGGGCTGCGCCCCGACGACACTGGTGTCTACGATCGCGCTAGAGTCCCGAGGACTCTGAGAGCCCCTGGGGACCCTGGAGGCTGCAGCCTCCCTGCCCAGCTCTGTCTCCTGGGACTCAGGGATGCCGCTTGAGGTTCCTGGGATCTTCAGTGGGAGACGTCTGTGCCCAGCCCACCCGGAGCTCGAGTCTGTATCTGTCCGGGAATCGTCACTCGCTCTCTGAGGCCCTGTCCCCTCCGAGCCTTCCCTGCTCTGGAGCTGCAAGGCGTGTCCTTCGCTCCCTGGATGGTTGCTGCCAGGACGTTTACCCTGCACCAGAGTTGAGCTGGCTCCTATGACTGGGGCGCCTTCTGAGCTGGTATCGGAAGGCTGCATCTTGGGTGGCCGCTCCGGGGCTCCACCACCCTGGCTGCTGCTGTCCTGGGCCTCGCGTGCTTCACTGTCCAGGCACGAGCTGCCACCATCCCCGCCGGACGTGTCTCCATCCCTGACAGGAGTCTCTCCATGGCCTCGCCGAGTCGAAGGTCCCCGATCCTTTCCTCTCTTGCGACGGCCGCGCTTGCCTGTCCGCTCTTTTTTCCCGGGGATTCTCTGTTCCTCCGTGTGCTCCGCACAACTGTCCCCGGGCTCATGGCTCTCTGTGGGTCCGTGTCCCAGATGCTCCGAGCAGCCCTGCCTCTCCTGGCCCTCCTGTGATGTCCCAGTTTCTGCATTTCTGCTGCGGTGGTTCCCCTCTCCGGTGGGCTTCCTGTGGCCTCCAGCGTTCCCCTTGCCTCCGGTGGCCTCAAGCTCCGTAGCGGGCTTGGTCTTGCGGGCTTTGCCGCGGGCAGGTCTGCGGTCCCGGCTTGGGGCGCCATCGGCGCTGGCGGACCCGGACTCCCGCTCGGCTGAGGCTGGTCTCCCGGGTTGAGCTCGGCGCTGGGGCGCTTTGCCCTTGCTTCCGCCCATGGCTACCTTCCCAATGTCCTGATCCTTCTTTTGCCTTCTGGTCTGACTGCCCAGGGGTGCCCTGAGGTCTCAGTTGCTAGACACTCTCTGCTCCTGCAGGGTCATGCGCTCAGTCTGTCCCCCTCCTGGAGTCTCCCCTCCTGGGCAGTAGCATCAATAATGCAGGAGGCAGCGGGTCCTGACCCCCTTGGCCAACAGTGGAGTGGATGCAGAGGAAAGAGGAGACACTGCCGCTGTGGACAAAGGCCGTGGACAGGGCAGCGACGCCAGGGCTTCTTGCCAGGCATGTCAGCCTGGCACGAGGCCAGGCTGAGGAGGCCAGGATCTGCTTCACTACCCGCCTGCCAAGAGGGGCGGAGCGAAGCTGTTACGTGGGGGCTTGTCCAGGAGACAGGGATTGTGTCTATGGGACGGGGAAGGGGACACTTGGGCGTTCTCTTCTGTCGTGAAGTACAACTTACTAAAAAGTGGATCCGATAGGAGTACACACCTTGAACTGGGGTAAAGCCAGTGCACCCCTTTGGAGTCATGGACCAAAACTCGTGGGGGATAGGAATCAAATCCCAGTGCCCTAGAGCAGCCAGTGCTCTCCAGCCCCGAAGGCTACTTAACCATCAGTAGTCAGGAGACCTTCGTGGATCTTTTTTCCCCCAGGCTGAGGAGGGCCCTGTGGATTCCAGGCAAGTCCTCTGGTAACCGAGCTACATGCCTAGCTACATGCCTAGCCCTCCCCACTGCTTTTTTCAATTAGCAATAATCACGTCTTCGATAAACTTCATTGGCTACGATACTGCCATGGAGAATAGCATGCAATACTGTTTCATTCAATGGCTTGCCTAGGAGGTATTTATTATTTATTTATTTATTTATTTATTTATTTATTTATTTCAATACAGGGGTTCTGTAGCCTTGGTTGTCCTGAAACTCTCTCTGTAGACCAAACTGGCCTCGAACTCAGAGATCAGTCTGCCTCTGCCCCCTCCACACCTGGCCCTGAGGTTTTGTAACACAGAGAGCTTCTCTGCCTTTTCAGTTGTACAGTATGAATTCATGGCTGTAATCTAACCAGTTGTTGTTGATAGATTTTTGTTTTGTTTTCAAGATGGTTTCACTGTGCAGTTCTGACTGTCCTGGAACACACTGTATAGACCAGGCTAGACCAGCTGGCTGCTTGCCTTTGTCTCCTGAGTGTTGGGATCAAAGGCATCCACCCCTCCCACCTGGTTATTGGTAGATTTTTAGTTGTATTTGTGTGTGTGTGTGTCTGTGTGTGTATACACACTCATACCACAGTCCTTGAGTGTGATCAGAGGGCAGACAGATTGCAGGAGTCAGTTCTCTCCTTCCAACCTCTGTGACCTGAGGATTGAACCCAAAGCTGTCAGGCTTGGTGGCAAGTGCCACTGAGCTAACCTGTAGGCCCTTTGGTGGATATTTATTTATTTACATTTTTAAAATTATTTTTTATTTGTTTAGACACGGTCTCTCTACATAGCACTGGCTGTCCTGGAACTCACAATGTAGACCAGGCTGTCTTGGACTGCCTCCCAAGTGAGTACAGGGACTAAAGGCCTGTGCCACCAAGCTAGTTCTGATGGCTCTCTCTCTCTCTCTGTCTCTCTGTCTCTCTCTCTCTCTCTCTTTCTAACACTGAAGTTTCTGGGCTGTGGTGGTGGCACACGCCTTTCATCTCAGCACTCAGAGGCAGAGGCAAGTGGATCTCTGAGTTCCAGCAGGCTGGTCTGCAGAGTGAGTCCAGAGCTAACCTGAGGGGCATGAGATCCTTGCCCAAGTATGCAGTTGTTCCTGCTGCCGACTATGCCTCCCCTGGGGGAGGGGCCACGGCATATATAGGCCTGGGTCCTCACCAGAGTGGGAATCTGTTACTATAGAGTTCTCATCCCTGCTGGGTAAAAGCTTTTCAGGGGTGGCCTGTTGAGGGGAGGTTACCCCTCACCTGTGTTCTATTAGTCCAGTGAACCCATTAGTTCCTCCAGGGTGAACTCTGGCACTTCATGCCTCAGTCTGTTACTGGGACCTTAAGAAGAGGGGGAGCTAGATGCTGTTTAACCACCCCTACTCCTGGGTAGTTAGAAGCACTTGGTGAGTCAAATACTTTAAAAGAGGGAGTTCTCTGAACACCTCTCTCTGAGGCTGGAGATGGAACCACTAACAGACGCAGGTCCTCAGGCTGTTCCAGTGAAGACTAGACAAGGTGTTTACTAAAAACTGCTTTACTCAGAGGTGGTTAAAATTTATAATTTAAGACCCAGCCCACTACAAAAGGGGAGGGGAATAAAAACTGTGCAACATTGATAAAAGGGTCAGGACAGACAGGGCCCAGGAGGGGGGTCCTGGTGGGAGCTCCCCTCTCCTGAGGCCAGGAGCAGCAACAGGAAGGTGACCAGGGCACTGGCAGCCCCTGGTCCTGCTTGGGCTGGAAAGGCCCTCAGTAGTGTGTGATCGTCTCACAGCCTGGATGCCGTCCCATTCACTCTGCTGTGGAAGGACACGGAGAGACAGGAGGTTAGGAGCATCCTGGGCAGGGAAGGCACCTTAGTCAGTCACCCATGCCACTGGTGATCTCCAGGGCTCAGATGGCCTGGGAAGCCTGTTGGGTCCTGGAGGGGTGGCAGCTAGGGATCTTCTTGTAGGGACTGTCTTCCTGGCAGCAGGCCCCGCCCTCCTCTGGAGTGCCCACAGCCCTACCTTCTCCATTGCTGAGCCTGTAGCCTACAGCCACGTGGTGAGGATGCCAATTGTCATAGCTCCTGAGGTGGCAAAGACAGGGAGTCACCATCCATGAGGGGCCTCATCCTCCGTGTCCCCACATTTTCCCAGTGCTGCAGTGACTTACCCCCGGTCCCCCTCCAGCGTGCTCTGGATTTCCTTTAGGACCCCTGCTGGGTAGGAGAGACCCAGTGAGGCCTTCGGAGGTGAGGCCAGACACTTTCTGTTTTACCACTGGGGTCCCTGACAGGCTTGTCCCTGGACCACAGAAAGCATTCCTGGCTTCCTCTGGCTTTCCAAGCTTCGCTCTGTACCCCATGACATGCTCCCCTCCCTCCTGTGAGCCTCGCCAACACCCATACTGACTCACAGGCATCGCTGAGCAGTGCGCGCTCCATCACTGGGCCAGGCTTCTTCTCTGGAAGGCAGGGCGGTCAGGTGGGCCTGTCCCTCTGCCCATCCCTCTCATTTCAGGGGTTAAGGGAGTGCGTGCTGGAAGCCAGAGCCCAGATGCAGGAAACATTTGCCCTTGCTGCCAGCCTATCTTGCCCCTCATTCACTTCTGGCCCTTCTCCTCTTTTACCCCAGGCTAACCAGCTATGTCCCAGGTTTGCCCCACATAGCACCCTGAGAGACCTGTCTTACCATCTCCATCACTCTGGCTCCTTGAGTTCCTGTGGAGAAGCAGAGAATGAGGGTTAGGGACCACCAGGTTCTGAAGATCTGGGCTCTCTGAGGGATGAGTGAGGCCAGCCTGTGTGACTAGGTCTGTGCAGACGGGAGAAGGGCTGGACTGGGGGCTGGCATGGGAAGGAGGGCATCGTGGCCAGTTAGCAGATACCTCAGAAGGAGCCAGGCTGGTGAAAGGCCTCTGGGTCTTTGTCCTCACCTGACTTGTCCCGAGGTCCTTTTGGGGCCTGTTCCATTGCCGTTACTGGGCCGGCTGTGGCTCTTGGCTTTGGGTGAATCCACCAAACACCGGGGCTCAACCAGCCACTTGGTGGAGAGAGAAAAGCGCTCGAACTCCGAAGGTGATATCAGATAGAAACCTGAGGAGAAGCACAAGAGCCCTCCGTAAAGCCAGCCGAGGCTCCTGGGCCCTGAGGCTGAGACAGGGCCTCCCTCCCAGGGGGACGGGGACACAGCCGGACAGGCAGAGCTCCACATCTGAGTTGCTCTCAGCTCTCCATCCCTGGCAGTGCCCCGGAGCCCCTTTCACCGTACCCCAACCTCACTGAGGCCCCAGTCCGTACACACCTTGGCCATATTTGGTGAAGACACAGGAGGCTATGCCGCTGACGTCTTCCCGGCGGATGCAGCTGTACCGCACCTGGGGCTTGAGCAGGGGCATTGAGACCACCTGGATGTCACCCAAGTTGGTGAGCACTGCCAGGTGGTGCTCCCCGTAGTCCTCAGCCCTGCAGCTGCCAAAGTGGGCAACGGCGACTCGTCGGACCCGTGAGCCTTCCAGGGCTGTCAACTTCAGCTTCAGCTTGGCGCTCACCTTGGGCAGTGTGAATACCTGGGCACACATGGCAGCTGGATATGAGTCACACCAAAACCAGACCTTGGGCAGTGTGAACACCTGGGCACACATGGCAGTGTGAACACCTGGGCACACATGGCAGCTGGACATGAGTGACACCATAACCAGACTATGGTTTACCTACCCATTACTACCACTGGGACCTTGTCCTCTAGCAGACACCTCCTGCTGTGCAGCAAGGGCATCTGGGTCTTAATGGCTCTTGAGTTGGGAGGGTACAAGGCCACTGTCATCAAGTCTGGGCATCCTGTACCTCGCACAGACTCAGGTCCTGCCTCCGTGTTCCCACTTCTGACCTTTGGGCCTAAGGCTGACACATACAAAATCCCTTCCTCACTTCCTGTGACCCTGTGGCTCTTACTCCAAGCAACCCCCGATATCCTCATTTGTGTCCATCCAGAGTCTGAACACTACCGATATCTCAGGGACACCCAGGGGACCCTGTCACATGGCACCTTGAATTGCTCCTCTGACACCACAAGCAACTGGTGGCTGCCTTGCATGTCTGGGCTCTTCGACAGGTCATGGGCTACTTCCAGGGGCTCGGGAAGGGGTACATTGTGTCCGTCAAGCACCAGGATGCCCACCACAGGTGCACGGTGCATTAGCTGGATCTCCTTGGCTACAAAGGAGGCGGGTTGGGGGAGAGGTAGGTTGGGGACAGAGCTATGATGGGTGGCTTAGTGACACCACACTCCCCAACCCAAGTAGATCAGACCCTCTG